GAGCAGTGCGGTTTTCGTCCTAGTCAAGGAACACTGGACCAGCTCTACACCCTCAGCAGGGTCCTGGAGGGTGCGTGGGAGTTTGCCCAACCAGTCTACATGTGCTTTGTGGACTTGGAGAAGGCGTTCAATCGTGTCCCTCGGGGAAACCTGTGAGGGGTACTCCAGGAGCATGGGGTACCAGGCCCATTGATACGAGCTGTTAGGTCCCCGTATGATCGGTGTCAGAGCCTGGTCCGCATTGCCGGCAGTAAGTCGGACTCGTTCCCAGTGAGAGTTGGACTCGGCCAAGGTTGCCCTTTGTCACCGATTCTGTTCATAACTTTTATGGACAGAATTTCTAGGTGCAGCCAAGGTGTTGAGGGGATCCGTTTTGGTGGCATTAGGATCATGTCTCTGCTTTTTGCAGATGATGCGGTCCTGTTGGCTTCATCAGGTCGTGATCTACAGCTTTCGCTGGAGCGGTTTGCAGCCTAGTGTGGCACGGCCGGGATGAGGATCAGTTCCTCCAAATCCGAGGCCATGGTCCTGAGCTGGAAAAGGGTAGAGTGCTCTCTCCGGCTCAGGGAGGAGGTCCTGCCCCAAGTGGAGGAGTTTAAGTATCTCGGGATCTTTTTCATGAATGAGGGAAAAATGGAGCGAGAGATCGATAGGTGCAGCGTCTGCAGTGAAGCGGGCGCTGTACCGGTCTGTCGTGGTGAAGAGAGAGCTGAGTCAAAAGGTGAACCTCTCAATTTATCGGTCGATCTACGTCATATGTGTCAAACTCGAGGCCCGTGGGCCAAAATGTGGCCCTCGTTGACATCTTATCTTACCCCCAAGACGATATTTAAAACATTAAATTCTTTTATCACTTTTTTTTTTCAGTAATCTTTGATTATGATGTCAAAAGTGCAACAGAGAACATCAAACGAGACCAATCAAACTCTTGTTGAGGAACCTGTGACCAAGAAAAGAGGTTGGGGATCTAACTTGAGAGAGGGTGAGAAGCTCGGTCATCCGGGAGGGACTCAGAGTAGAGCCGCTGCTTCTCCACGTCGAGAGGAGCCAGTTGAGGTGGCTCGGGCATCTGGTTAGGATGCTTCCTGCTGACGCCTCCCTGGTGAAATGTTCCGGACATTCCCACCAGGAGGAGACCCAGGACACGCTGGAGGGACTGTGTTTCTCGGCTGGCCTGGAAACGCCTTGGGATTCCCCCGGAGGAGCTGGACCAAGTGGCTGGGGAGAGGGAAGTCTGGACCTCCCTATAGGCTCCTGTCCTGGTGACCCGACCCCTGATAAGCGTAAAAAAAATGTATGGATGGATTAATTAAGATGATTTTAAAACACGAAAGTAGCACTTTCGACTGGTACACTTCATGCTCTCAAGTTAAAACTTCTTTTTTTTCTATTTTTACACACATTGTCACAGCTTATACAATAATAATCAGTAATATATCTCTTGAAACTTGGTTGAGTACAAACCCACAACAAGTTATACTGTACTGTACAGGAAAGTTTGTATTTACTCACAGTTTTGTTTTGTGACCAACTTCACTGGTTTTGTTTACTCATGCTGTACTCATCAAACTCTCTTTATATCCAAGTTGCTCTGAGGAACTAAACAATAAATTTAAATAAAAAAAAACAACAAAAACACTTCCTGCTTCTCTGTTGGAGATTACTGGTAAACAAAGCAGGTGGTTTAACCGCATGAAATTCCCTCAGAGTTTGAAGAAGATCAAATTAAACCAAAGAGGAATGACGTTGGACTAGATTCAGACAGACATGACTGCTGCTCATCTGCTGCTGATCAATAATTTTAAAGATAGAATTATATCCAAATACAGAATTTTGAATAGTTTGGATGTTTTAACTATCTCCATGGAAAAACATTTTTTTTATAAAAGTGTTATTTTGTTTGTAGTGTGCAATTCCTGCGGAAGTAGCCGGCTGGGTTTTACTCTAAAGCTGAAGTCAGGTCAAACAGGAGGAAGGCGCTGCTGGTAATGACTCTATTTTTAGCCTCGTTCTTCCCGCTCTGTTATCTCTGTATCCACTTCTTTTGTCACTAGTTGTTTTGTTTCAGCCGGTTCCAAATTTCTCCCTGAACGCTGTTCTGCCTCTGGATGGTAAAACGGCAGAAAGACTTAAAATATTTAACAAGTATTACAATTAAAAGTCAAACATTTGGGCGCAATCAATAAATCAAATAAGGAGAAATTCTGTGCAATTTTTTTTTTTTAAAGCGTTGAATTAATTTGGTGCTTTCCAGTTACATCACAGTATATTATTGTGTCACAATTTCATTTCATGTCTTGTGAAAAGAAAGTGCATGATAATGAAAATGATAGTAATATAGCATATAAAAATATTTTCCATCATTCCATCCAGGTAACGGAGCCTCTTAAGAAGTTTAGTTTCTTGGCTTCATGTCAGCTTGTTCGTTTTTTTATTTTTTCATTTACCCATTATTTATACAGGTAGTCTCATTGAGCCATGAGAACTCAATTTCAAGAGAGACCTGTTTAGGGTAGGGAGTAGATGGGAAGGGGGGGGGGGGGGGGTAAGGGCCTTGCTTATGGGCCCAGAATGGGGCGAATGAGGGTGGGGGCAAGTGTGGGTGCTTCACCTACCCCATTGTAAAAACCGGGAAAATTCCCTGAAAGCCAGAACGTTGTTTAGGCGGAAATGCAAAATGTCAAAAGCATTTTTTGGGTTGTATGAAAAACATTTCCTGTTTGTATTCAAGAGTAAGTTACATTTTTAAGGGAAGTTCTGTGGAACAGTCAGGAACTATCTTACAACTCGTTGTGTGACCTCACCTCAGTTTAGGGAAATGGAATTAATTCACACTGAACTGGTGAGCTAACCGCCAGAGCTATTCAACTAAACTGCTCAGGGGCCACAGTTATTGTCATGAAATAAGTTTGTTTTATTGTTTAAATCTAGTTTAATTTCTAAATGAACCCATTGTTGGATCAAACTGAGTTCGCCAGTGGGCCTCGAGTTGAATAATCCTGCGCTAGTTAGTGAGATCACAACCTAAGTGGACTGCTGCCATCTTAAAACAACTTCAGTTTAATTTTATTTACATCAGTTTCTATGAATGACATTTTCACCACCACTATTTCACATCACTCACTATTCAGGCAGAAATATTATATTATTCATGCCTGAAATGTCCCAGGCTGCACTGGAAGTGCTACAGCTAGCTGCTCCTGCCACTGTTTCTGCTCACAAATAGCTAAAAGTGATGTAAAATAGACAGTGCTGTACATATCAGTACATTTGCACAGTACCAATTGTATGAATACAGGATGTACAGTGTGTACAGAATGAATGCAGCCTCCCACTTGTTTTGGCCCAACTCAGTTTAGCCGTTAGCCCGTCAATCCAGTCAGAAACTCTTTTTTTGTTGTTGTTTTCAAACTTAATTAAGGTTAATGAGCTATCTATGACAGGTAAGATGGTGATTGTTTAAAAACTCCACAAAACTCAAGTGATATTCACTATTGCTATAGTTACTAGTTCTTTTTGTTGTTGTATGTAAGCTTGTTCTTATAAGCATATAGATGAGTTCATCTAGTTGAATGTTGTAAAAAACATTTCTAAACCCTTTTTTTAAAAACTAACAAATATTAACTATGTTGTTATGATCCTGTTGCATTATAGTAAAAAAAAAAGTACAGTACTGTCATTTCTGCCAGTAAAAGAAGCAGGAAATAATTTAAAAGTAAAGAATTTACAAATAGCTGCTTTGAAATTATGTTTTTTTTTTCTCTTCAAGAATATGTGCCAAGACTGAAGGTGTGAATTTTAACAGAGTGAGATGATGGAAGGCATGGGGCTGAAAAAAGTAGGAAACAGGATGAAGACAGGAAGAAAAGATTTGGCCAAGTTAGTGTTGACTGAAAGAAAACACATGAACAAAGACAAGTGGGTGGGACAGGATGGGAAAAAAGTGCACAGAGGAAAACATACAGGCAGGATTTAGAAGGATTTGCTGATCAAGCATATTTTCTCTGTAACAGCAGTGGTTGCAGAAATTGTTTTGATGTGCAAAAAAGTTGGAACTGAAATAAATTAAAAGAGTGTGTTATACAATAAGGCTTCCTTTCTTAAATATATTTTGATTAGGAGTGGAACTATAGGATACAAACAGGACTGATACATTTTTGTATTCAAAGTTATTTATTTATTTATTATTATTATCTTGAAGACAAAGGTTGAGCACATATTTACAAGTGGATGCAGTTTCCTGATGTTTACACACAAAACTATCTTCCTTTTTTTTTTTTTAAATCAGTTATATTTCAAAACTCAAATACATCTCATCTGGATGTTCTTGCTGTTCTCATTTTTGTTTCCTATACTTATTTTATTGTCAAAATAGATCGAAACATATCCAATTTGAACAAAAACTCAAGTTGCATACAAAGTAGGGTTTATATATACAAACATATATATATATATATATATATATGTCTTATATATATATATGTCTTATATTTTATATATATTATATTTTATATTATATATTTTATATATATATATATATAATATTATTATAGTTTATATTATATTATTATTATATATAGGGTTCATTTATAGTTTTTCTTACTAATTATATTTTATATTATGTTTCTATTTTTATTTGTGCAAGTAAAACCAACTTTTCAATGAACATTTAAATAAACAATGAAATTAGTGTTGAAATTTAATTTGTTTGCATATCATGAATCAACCCTAGTTTTTTTTTGTTGTTATTTTTTACAATAAAGTAAATTCCATTGTTTTTGTTTATTAGTGTCTCCTAGTTTCCCTTTTTTTCCTCCTCTCGTTTTTTCCAAAAGTGCTCAAGTAGGAAAAGGTGGTGTGTGATTTCATTCCACGCTCCAAAGGCCCGTGTTACTTTTGGAACAGAACACGTCTGAACAGAATGAACTGTTCCAGATGTGACGTATTTACGTGCATTTTTCATTTACGTGCAAAGAGAACGTCTCAAAACCTGCGCATGCGCATTTATTATTCAGGAAGGAAGCAATGTCGATAGAAGATCCATTTTTCGTTGTGAAGGGGTGAGAAATGAAGAAATTTGGACTAAACAACCGGCTCTATGTTCATTTTAACAACTAAAAAATGTTGCAATGTTTTTATTTATGTTTACTATAAATTGTTGTGTTCCTTAAAGTTATCTTGGGAAAGTTAGCTCAGCGGCTAACTGTAGCTAACTAGCATCACCACCGTGTGTTGACTTGTGCAGAGATTGTTAAAAGACGGCATACACAATCTCAGGTTCTGTTTGAGTTGTTCGTTTCACTTGGCTTTCACAGAAACTATCTTGGCTATGTTGAAAGTTTGTTGTTAAGAATAAAAATATATATTCATTCAACGACGTGGGGCGACGCTCAGCTCAGTAAAACGTGATCTAATGTAGTTGATGAACTGTTTATTGTGTGTGTTTGGTTTCCAGGGAGGTGCAGAAGGCCCTCTCTCGTGCTCGGACTCTGTTTGATAGATGGGAAGAACTGTTACAGGATGGGACACAGGTGAGAGGACAGTGATATGATTGCACAGTAATATTGGATTATTATTATTGGGTTTTTTTGTCCAACAGTTTTCTCTTAGATGCCTTATTTTCTTGCCATATGTGTCTGTGTGGATCTGTATCACATAATTTATGCATGCCAGGGATAAATCTGCTTCATTTACTAACAGCATACCAATCACCATTGAAATGTGTACAATAAAATAAAATCACAGAACACCAAAAATAAATTTTTTAACAAGTTATAAAGCAAGATGAAACTGCAGGCATCGTTTGTGAGCGTCTGGGTTTCTTTCTCAGGTGAGTCGAGATGAGCTGGACTGGAGCGCCAATGAGCTGAGGAACTGTCTGAGGGCCATAGACTGGGACCTGGAGGACCTCAGTGAAACTATCAGTATCTTTTCATTGCAAACAAATCTCAAACCTTTAATTCCCCTCAAGTCTATGTGTTCCATGACTGTCAGTGTTTTTTTTAAAACATACAAGTGCTTTGACACACTTATACAAAAATACATATAAATGTTAGTTAATATTCTTATGATAGAATGTCCAACCAGGAGAAGTAACAGAACCTTTATAATGCTAAACATCCTATTGTGTTATGAAACATACTGCATATTATGTAAACATGCAGTTTTATAATAATTTGCATGCACAGGAAAAACAAACACATTCTTTCTTTTTAAAATGTATTTTTTATTCAACCTTTATTTAGACAGGTTAATCCCATTAAGCCTCGAGGACTCATTTACAAGAGAGACCTGATTTCAACAGAGTGATGACAACAGTGGACAAATGTTTTATGTATGTTTGTTATTAATAATCATGACAGCTAGATTGTTCTCTGTAGTTTTGTTTTCTGGGCAGATGTTGACTTTTTCTGCAGCACATGATATTTTTAAAACAGTGCCGACATTTTTGTTGGAACCTTGACTGGTTCAGGTATTGTGGAGTCAAACCCAGGGAAGTTCAGACTGGGGGATAATGAACTTCAAGAGAGGAGAGCTTTTGTGGAGCGAACCAGGAAGTCTGTTCAGGTAACTCTATTGATACAGATTTTATTGGGTATTTCTGTAGTCCTCGAACAAGAAGGCAAAATCTTCTAATATAATAGTCAGCGGTACATGACGTTAGAACTCAACATTTCATCAGCACTTTGATAAAACAATGATGAAAAACATTACTATATGTAATTACAAAGAACTAGATGAGTTGCTTCACAATACTCCTCTTACAGCAGTTTATGTGTGCTTTTTAAAATGAAACAGTTTATTAATAAACTGGATTATGGCTATAGGTAGCCAAAATATTTATTTGACAGAGTAACATTTTGATTGATTACACTATTGCTGTACATGCAAATGTAGTCTGTTAATGATGCAAATAACTTTGATTTATTTATATTTATTTTTAAAGTTTTATCTTCACACCAAACACATGTAGGTTTCCAGTATCTATAGGCCACTGTATCAGTAAAGGAAGGCTTGTATTTTGGTAAATGGATTGTTACTGATAAACACACTTTTGTAAAGTGTCTGTGACATTTTATTTGTGATAAATGAGAACACATTTTTGGAAAGATCACATTAATAATATATTGTGAAAGACTTCTCTACAGCTGAGATGAACAACTGCTGAGATATTCTCATTCAAAGTAACAGGAAGTGATGAAACTGAGCGTTGGTACAATGGCTAACAACAGACAATAGCCAAGAATCTGATGCTGCTTCAGATTATTTAGATAATAATTATTTATTTATTTATTTGTAAATTGACCTGAAGTGTGGGTTCATATTTGTTTTCACCACAGATAAAAAAAAATAAACAAAATACTTTACTGTAATGAATTTTAAAAACATTCTAAACTGCAGCTACAATAGAAAATATGAGTCAGTTAATAACTCAAGCAAAGGCACCGTTCTTAAAATAAACCTGCGGAGAGGTGAGTCATTGAAACTGAACCAAAGCAATTTGCTGAAAGTGAACAAAACACTTGTTGACTGTTTGATTTGCTGACTGGTGATTTTGACAAAGCAATAAATAAATGAAGAGGTTGTCTAGAGTCAGCCAGGGTAAATAACTTCTCTGGTTATTGTGACACATTGTAAATAGTTTTTAATTTGTGTAGGAGATGAAAGATCAGTTATCCAGTCCTTCTGCTGTAGCTCAGACTGAGAAGAAGAACAAACAGGTCAGTAAACGTTTTAACACAAAATATACACTTCATGGTATCATAAATATACTTGTAATGTTACACAGAGAAAGAAACCCGTCTAACAATACTATCACAAAAGAACCAAAACTACCAATTGATCTGCTTTTTTTTTTTAATTTATCTTTATTATCAAAAGTGTCTTTATGTTCAAATGTGTCAACTATGTGTTTTGTGTGTCTGTGTGTTTTACCGGCGCTGCTGGATTTAAAGGGGCAGGACAGATCAACGGGACTGGAAGCTCATCTGGTGTCTGCAAACTCCAGATACATTCAGGAGCAACAGGAACAACAACAGGTAGAGAGAGAGAGATGAAGAGGTAGAGAGAGAGAGGGAGAGATGAAGAGGTAGAGAGAGGGAGAGATGAAGAGGTAGAGAGAGAGAGAGAGAGATGAAGAGGGAGAGAGAGAGAGAGAGAGAGAGAGAGAGAGAGAGAGATGAAGAGGTAGAGAGAGAGATGAAGAGGTAGAGAGAGAGAGAGAGAGAGATGAAGAGGTAGAGAGAGAGAGAGAGAGATGAAGAGTGGGTGCAGGAAGGAACGAGTGTGTTGAAGGAAAAGGAATGAATGGGGGTTGGGTTATTTAAAACAAAAACATGCAAGTCTTCTTTAAAATGTGTTCAAGCACCAAGGAGATTTCACAATTTAAATTATCTTATAAATATACATTAGCCAACTGAAGTGCATTGAATGGACCATAAGAGAATTGGACATGGTAATTTAGTTATGCACTGGTGTGGAAAAACATTTAAAACTAGAGAAATTGCATTTCCTGTGGAAAATAATGCAGTGTGAATACTTATTCCTGAAGAACTTGCAAAAAAAACAAAAAACAGCTGAAATTAGCTAAGAACGTGCTGAAATGTATCTGAAATGGAAGAACAATCCTAAATTGGCAGAAGAAAGCAGAAAGAACACATAATTGCTGAATTAGGTTTTAATAAGCCGAAATTAGCACCAAAAATTAGGAAATTAGCTAAAAAAGCTGAAATGCGAAAAAAAAAAAAAGAGTAGCTGAAAAGGCAGAAGCTTAAACTACTGGACGGAAGTGCAAGGAGCTGAAACAAAAAAGTGGAATTGGTTGAAAAAGCTAAATTTAGTACAAAAACGGCTAAATAGTAGCCGAAATAGCAGAAAAGGCTGAAACTAGCAGAAATAAACTGAAAGGAGCATAACACGATGAAATTAGCTGAAGGAAGTTACTTAGGCTGAAAGAAGCGGAAATTATCAAGAAAAACTTGAATTTATTAGAAAATGGCTGAAATTAGCTAAAAAGGTAGTTGAAAGAGTAGAACAAACAAATTAGTAGAAGTATAAAGAGCACAATTTTACCCAATTAGGCTGAAAGGATCAGAAATGAACCCAAAAAAGGTGGAAATTACCTGAGAAAAGCTGAAATTAGCCAAAAAAAACAAACCAAAACAAACAAAAAATAAAATGGCCGAAAAGTAGCTAAAAAAGCAGAAAGAAGCTTGAATTAGCAGAAAGAAGTGGAGAGAGCACAATGTTGCTGAGTTAAGCTGAAAAAAGTTGAAATTATGGCAAAAAACGTGGAATTTGCTGAAAAAGCTAAAGTTAGCATAAAACAGCTAAAAAGTAGCAGAAATAGCTGAAACTTGCATAAATAATCTGAAAGGGGCATAAAAAGCTGAAATGATTAGAAATAAGTTAAAGAACCACAAAAATATTTTAGTTAGCTGAAAGGATCGCAAAACAGCTGAAATTAGCTGCATTTGCACAAAGAAGCTGAAAGAAGCCGAACCAGAACAAAATGTGAAAGGAGCAGTAAAATGTTGTAAACAGATCTAAAGATCTGAAGGATGGAAAATGAGCTCAATTCATTTCCTTTGAGGGAAAAAAGTGTCAGAAAAGGCTAAATATTTCAAAAAGCTAAAGTCGCACCAATACCAAAAGTCATAGCAGGATTGTCCTGAAAAGAGCTGAATGTTTTGATTTATGATTTATTGAAATAGCACAAAAACTGTGGAATGAGAGCGATGCTGAAAACGTACCGAAGAAAAATGAACCACCGAAGTGTGAATGCTTCATAAACAGTCACACAGTTAAATTTCATTTTCATACAGAATTTCATGTAAAATGTGAAACTCCGTTTAAAGTAGACAAACGGCAACAACGTTTCAAAAATTATGTAATCCTGTTTAAATACTTTTGTTACAGTGGGGAAATGAAAAAGTTAATAAGCTCATTATAGAAAAAACAAATTGCACCAAATCATAAGCATGAAAAAAACTGGAGATAAAAATGTATAAATTCAGTCCACGCAGGTCGGGTTTAGTTTTAATGTTGGTTTTTCCAACTACTGTGAGGATTTACTGTACATATATACAGTGTTTTCACACTGAAGGAAGTGAGTGATTGTTTTCAGTGTCAGGGTGGATGAAGTGTTGGTTTTTACTTCCTGTGTTGGGTGTGTGTGTGTGTGTGTGTGTGTGGGGGGGGGGTGTTAACCATAGTGTTTATAATGCAAACCCATCATCACACATCCTGTCATGGTTGTGGTTTTAATACACACAGAAAAAAACTGATTCTCTCCTTGAAAGAAGTAGACCGGCTAAATCTCTTAAGTTAAAACATTACAGTGGGTCAGTAATGCAGGTTATACTAGAGGACGTGCCGTGAATCAAAACTTTATAATTAAAAAATATTTTTTGGGCAAGTAAATTCTTGATTTAAAGTTGAGTGTAGGTTTGGAATGAGCCTATGACAAAACATTCTTAAAATGCTTATTTAAATTGTTTTATTTGCTGCACGTGCAAAAAGTTATGTCCTCTGATGGAATGGAAACGTGTGTGTGTGTGTGTGTGTGTGTAGCTGATCATGCAGGAGCAGGACGAGCACCTGGAGCTGGTGACGGGCAGCATTAGAGTCCTCAAAGACATGTCTGGACGGATCGGGGACGAGCTCGACGAGCAAGCTGTGTGAGTGTTCATGCTTCTAGGATTCTTCACTTGTGTCTTGTTTTAAATCCTCTCTTTATTTTACGGAGGGAGAAATGTGCGTGTGGCAGAGAGGAGATCATGACAGGCTGCAGAGGGAGCTTCTCCCTGCACCTGTGGGCTGCACACAGGTGCTAAATCGTTTAAAACGATTGATTTAAAATAATCCGTGCCGCTCATGTGGCTCATCCATCAACCAGCCAGTTGTGCGTCATGTCCACTCTTACTTTGAAAAACCACGAAAGTCGAACCGTGAAGTAGCGAGGGACTACTGCACTTGTGAAAAGTAAAGCTTCTGTTAACATTTAGTATTTGACCATGTGACTCTCTGAATGTCAGAAGTGCTGTTTTTGAGTGTCACCGTTTGTTCAGCATGCTGCAGGACTTTGGAGACGAGATGGATCAGACGTCGTCCCGCATGGACTCGGTCCTAAAGAAGCTGGAGAAAGTGTCTCACATGACGAGCAGTAAGTGAGCGCACACGCAGCCTGGCTCCTTCTTTTAAAATTGTTTCAAATTGTTATGAGCTACACAAAAGTCACGGTCACATCTGTTGCGCCACAGTTCAACAGAACTAAAACATAAAAGCACTTTAATAAATTGCATGTCAGAAATTTAATTCACTTCTGGTCGTTAGCTTTTGTTTTTTCTTTAATTGGAGGTCGATCCTCCTGAACTGATTTTATTTTTTGTTGTAACTTTCTGAATAACCGCTTTTGTTTGTTGTTTATATTGTTTTTGAACAATTAGTAAATCAAAAAAAAAATTGAGTTGAAAAGTAAAAAAAAAAAAAGAAAAAAGTCCTGAATGAAGACTCAAGGGCTAAGTTGAATCTAATAAAATAATTTGATGCAGAGTGTCTCCATGTGAGGACTTGAGTCTCTGAAGTTTAAAAAATATGTTAATGTGGCGTAAAAAATATAAAATTATAATCTGCGCAACTGTTTTTTTTTTTTTTTTTTAATGTCCTGTTTCCCCCTTCAGGTCGGAGACAGTGGTGTGCCATCGGTGTGCTCGTTGCCGTCATGATTGTGGTCCTCATCCTGTTCTGTGTTCTCTGATGTTGTTGACCTCTGACCTCCAGCGATGTTCACCCTGAACGGACAGATAAAGATGGAAGACGTACGTCCTGTTCCCCTTCAGTAACTCCATTTACACACTCCAAGGAGGAGCCTGCAGAGAAAAGGCTGCGATGTTCTCTGCCTTTGAATGAATCCATTTGGGGTGGGGGGGGAACACGACAAAAACCCAGGTTCCTCTCAGCAGCAGAGCTTAACGTGAGGGAACTCATACTGGTGTGCTGCAGTGACTGTTGGAAACTGGTATGTGATGAGAGGGCAGGCAAGGGTTAAACAAGTTTAGTAAATGGAGCCATTTTTGAGTTTAATTCTAATCAATTGAAAAGTTTAGGATTTGAATTCACGCCCACCGAGTACTCGATATAAAATATATTAGATTAGAAGGAGTAAGTTTTCACAGCCCATGTTTATATCAACCAGTTTATGAAACTTGATTCTTGGGTGAGAAATGGTTTTTCCAACAGAACATTTTAAGTGCCCAGTCTAAAGAACGTTTCTGCTCGTGTTTTAATTCAGGATTTGCACGGTAGGACCGGGGGTGAAGCCTTAAATATATTTTTATACTGTTTTTTTGAGATGTGCAGTATGTTCACGTGCCTGCGTTTGACTTGGGCTGTAAGTTGTTCTTTAAATGATCAGTGGACCCAGACGTCGGGCTGCGTCAGAGTTTTCTTTGTAGTCCGACGCAGCAGATTTCACTGATCAACAGCTCAGAGCTGAGGAGGAAGTGCTGCTGGAAACTGTCGCTGTAACGTGCGCGTGGTGAAAACATGAAACGTGCGGGCTCAGAGATGAAGTCACCCATCACACATGTCGTTTTTGTTCATCAGCTGATGTTTTTCGAAGTGCAGATTCTTGCAGCAGAGATTTATTTTTAAATCATTTAATTTCTTTGCCCTAATTGAGACGAGTCTGTAAGTCTGATGCCTTCGCGTGCCTTCACACGATTGGCTGGGGCTTTGTTCCTTGGCTCGGAGCGAATGGCTTTGCCTCTTTTGTTAAAAAGCTGCAGCTAATGAGGAGGAATAGTTGCTGGGCAAGATGTCTCCCCGCGCTGCTCAGATTGAGGCTCGCAGCGCCATCTGCTGGCCATCCTGAGCCATGCGACACTGAGGCGCGTTTAAGTGCTGTTGAAGAACAAATTTGCTTTACTGAGATTTTCTTTAAATACTTTCATACTGTTAATTTGGTGTAATGCTTCTTTAAACGATTTATTGAGATAAAAAACATTAATATGGTGCAATCGCCTGCCAAAGTAGTTAACGGCAGAATATGTTTGGTTTGTACAGAGTCCTCACTGCCTGAGCTCATTTGTGTTTTATTTCTTCTAGTTTGTGCGCTTTAAAGTGCTTTTACATATTTAAGCCTGCACTTTTTGGTGGAGAAAATTGACTTAAAATTAAAATAAATATATATATATATATCCAGAGTGTAGTTGCCACTTTGCAAGTGGCTGAAAGTATGAGTAAATTTTTCAACAGCAGTGTTTTATGCTTGCTGCTGAACATTTCTACGTGTACCACTACATCTGTTCTACTGTTATACCATGACATCTGGATTAGGAAGACGCCATTATTTAATGTATAAAACCAGCCTTTTTGTATTTTATTTTCATTAATGGTACCTAAATAAGTAAAATTGTGAATAAAATGGACTTTGCTTTTTTTAGTATTACAAGCAGTAAACTCTTTGTCTTGTTTATTAGCAGCATTAGGTCGTGTTGTGAAACACCTGTATGTTGTGTCTATAATGAAATCCTAGATACACAAACTGTTGTAAGTTTATAACATGAAAATGCTTTTTACAGGTTTTATGCTAAAACAGTGGGTTTGAAGAACTAATATTGTCATTAGTTCAAAACCACTGATGAAAGTGAACATCTTCACTGAACGTGCCAAAAGTCAGGTTTATTACACATTACCATCAATTCACCACATCTAGTAACTCTTGAAGTTTACAGGTTTTATCTTGTGACACATTTCAGACAGAGCTGATTATCACTGATGTTTTGAAAACAGCAGTCAGAAATTATGTAAGGTTTCCTTTAATATGCTGCGTGAAGTGATGACCGTGGAAGCAACTTGTAAAAATGGCTGACCTGTATGTTTGAATGAATACAGTATTCTGGCTTTATTCCTTCCGTCTGTGATTTTTTTTTCTTGTATTTATTTGATGAGCTTTCACCAAACTGAAGTGAATTTTAATTGAGAGGCACTTTTCTTGCTGCTCTGAGAGGGGAACCATCAGGTGAAATTGCATTTAGTTTAGCTGGAATGAGCAGAGTGAGGGTCCCCGGTGCCTCGATGAACTGAAAGCAGTTCTGAAAATAACTTGACAATCATCAGGAGATCTGTGTATTTATAGTTTTATGGAACTGCAGAAACAAAATAACACTCATAGGACGACTGGTAAATAATGGAAAAATTAAAAAGCTGTACGACATTTTACAGCAACATAAAGCGCTTAGGATGGGAGTCATGTGATCCTAACTAGCTTGCGAAAATGCAGTTGAAATGCTTATTGTTGAAGAACTTGCTGAAAAACGGCTGGAATTAGCTAAAAGCATGCTAAAATGTAGCAGAAACGAAAGAAGCCTAAGTTAGCAGTAGAACATAGAAAAAACACATTTGCTGAATTAGTTTTAAATAAGTAGAAATATGACCCAAAATTAGGAAAAGAGCTATAAAAAAAGGCTGAAAAGTAGTTGAAAATGCAGAAAGAAGCTTAAACTAACAGTAGGAAGTGGAAAGAGCTGAAATTAGCTAAAAAAATATGGAATTAGCTGAAAAAGCTAAAAACAGCTAGTAGTAGTGAAATGGCAGAAAAAGCCTAAGCTAGCAGAACAAAGCTGAAATTGGCATAAATAAGTTAATTAGGCTAAAAGTAGCAGAAATTAGCACAAAAAACCTTGAATTGATCTGAAAACGGCTTAAATTAGCTAAAAATGCTAAAAAAAATAAATAAAAAAAAACGAGAAGTTAGAAGAAGCGTAAATTAGCAGAAGCAGAAGGAAGACGATTTCCCAATTAGGCTGAAAGAAGCAGAAATGAGCACAAAAGTGGAAATTATATGAATAAAGCTGAAATTAGCTGAAAAGTAGCTAAAATAGCAGAAAGATGCTTGAATCAACAGAAGTGGAAGAAGAGAGCACATTTTTGCTGAAATAGGTTGAATATTTTTTTAATGAGTGCAACAAATGTGGAATTAGCTGAAAAAAAAAACTAAAATTAGCATAAAACAGCTAAATAGTAGCTGAAATAGCAGAAAAAGCTGAAACAGAAATCAGCTGAAAGAAGCATACGCTGAAATTAGCAGGAATAAGTTGGAATAAACAAAAATGTTTTAGTTGGCTGAAAAAATCTGAAACGAGCACAAAACAGCTGAAAGGAGCTGAAAATGAGTTTAATTTGCACAAGGAAGCTGAAGCAGAGCAAAATGTTGAAGGAGCAGTAAAAGGTTGTAAACAGGTCTGAAGATGTAAAATGAGCTCAGTTAATTTTCTATGAGAAAAAAAGACAGAAAAGTCTAAATATTTCAAAAAGCTAAAGTTGCACCAACACCAAAAGTCATAATAGCACCCGTCTGAATGAGCTGAACTTTTTGATAAACGATTTGATGAAATAGCACAAAAAATGTGGAACGAGAAAGACGCCGTAAAACGTACGGAAGAATTTAGAAGTGGAAACAGGATCTCAGTGTGAATGCTGACTAAGCTGCTTTTAGGGGTAAATAACCAAAGACCTTGTAACCGTTTGAAAAGCCTAAAAGCAAAAACAGACTAATCACTCTTAAGGAACGGACATTGTTGACCTACCATGTTTTTTTTCCAGACTTCAGCTTTGTTTCACTCCAGTTTCACCGGGCTGTGATTTTACATTTTCCAGCTTCAATGTTTGAAACGTCTTCAAAGTCAAATTGATTATTTCATCTGCGTCTCTCTTTGTGTTTCTGTTTATAAACTCAGTTCAGGGCAAAACATTGATCCAAACGAAGATCCTTCTGTTACACACGTCCGTTTGTAAAGCTTTTTTTTTTTGGGTAGTGTTTCCCATTAAAAATACTTAGAATATGGCTGTAGGTCTCGTGTGCACACTTGTCCAACCGTTATTGTTTTGATCACGTTCCCATCCAGTCCCAGTTAAAAACCTACTCAGCCGGTTCCAATTAGTCACTCCATTTGCTTTACCTCTTTGTTCCCTTTTTAGAGTCATGGTAAACTTGTGCTCATCCCCAGTCCTGTGGCCAACGGGTGATGGGCGGGTGATTATCTGAAAAGTGCTGAAATGAGCAGAAACAGTCAAAAAGTAGCTAAAAAAAGCAACGAGCTTAAATTCCCAGCAGGAAGTGCAGAGAGCACATATTTGCTGAATTAGGTTGAAAAAAGTATAAATGAGTGCACAAAATGTGGAATTAGCTGAAAAATGTTAAATTGCATAAAAACGGCTATAGTAGCTGAAATAGCAGAAAAAGCTGAAAACTTGCAGAAATAAGCTGAAAGGAGCAAAACAAGCTGAAATTGTCAGAACCAAGTTAGAAGGAGCACAGAAATGTTTTAGTTAGTAGAAAGAATCTGAAAGGAGCACAAAACAGCTGAAGGTAGCTGAAAAATATTTAAATATGCACAAAGAAGCTGAACCAGAACAAAATGTGAAAGCAGCAGTAAAAGATTGTAAACAGAGCTAAACATTTGAAGGATGTAAAATGAGCTCAATTCATTTTCTATAAGAAAATAAATGGCAGAAAAAGCTAAATATTTCAAAAAGCTAAAGTTGCACCAATACCAAAAGTCATAGCACTCTTCTCCTGGACGTTTTGATTTATGATTCGTTGAAAACTGCCGGACGAGAATTGCGCAGGAAAACATACAGAAGAAAAATGGATCACAATAGAGTGACTGCTTCATAAACGTTCACACAATAAAGTCAAAACAGAGCAGTAAGGTCAGACATTTTTTTGTTACAAACCTTTATTAAGATATTCAGATTTTTTTCCCTCAGTCTTTTATTTATTTTTTGCTCTTTACAGTAGTTAATGTGCAATTATTATTTTTTTTTTATCTCTGGGTCACAGTTAGGAATTCACAAAGTTATTGGCACTTGAAACACATGAAGGGGAAACACTGGCATGAACACGGGGGAGCAAATATTTGGATAGGAGCTGGGTATTGGGGTAGGGATGCACGATATTGGATTTTTGGCCGATATCCGATACAATAGTGATATTATTTTCCCTAGACCTACTTACAGAGACTACACAGCTTTTTCTGCTGTGGAATTAAAATACATTATTCTGCATGGTCTTTGTCAATTTGACCTGCTACCAAATGCAGATGCCAAAAAGGGGGCTGAAAATAATACTATATAAACGCCTTTTATATCTGTGAGTTATTTTGATAGAATGGCCGATGTCCGATATTTAACTTTATCGCTAATATCGGC